GGGACCAAGCTCCGCATCGGGCTCTCTGCTTAGCAGGGAGTCTGCTCCCCTTCCTCTCTCTCTGCCTGCCTCTCTGCCTGCCTGTTATCTCTGTCAAATAAATAATCTTTAAAAAAATAAAATATGAGGGACGCCTGGGTGGCTCAGTTGGTTAAGCAGCTGCCTTCGGCTCAGGTCATGATCCCAGCATCCTGGGATCGAGTCCCACGTCGGGCTCCTTGCTCATCAGGGAGCCTGCTTCTCCCTCTGCCTCTGCCTGCCATTCTGTCTGCCTGTGCTTGCTCTCTCTCCCTCTCTCTCTCTGACAAATAAATAAATAAAATCTTTAAAAAAAATAAAATAAAATATGAAATATCATTGAGTACATAAATTTAGAATTTATAACATTTTATATTTATAATTCATATTAAGTATAAGAATGCACATATGTTTATAGCAGAGAGCAAAGACAAACTGTAGTGTTTTGCTTTATATTTGTACTTTTCCCCCTCTTATTTACTGTGATCTCACCTCATTTTTGCCCTTTTACCTCCCTTTATTTGCTGTATTCCTCCCTTCTTCTCCTTACTCTTCCCCATTTTTCTTTTTCTCTCCCTTTATCATCCTTTAGTCCCATACTTTTGAACTGCTATACAGTTGACACTATATATAAGTAAGGGGTATAGTAGTAAGTTGTCCCTTCTCTTAAAAAAAGTCTCAGTCAGAGAAGAACAGCCCAGTAACAAAACCAAATGCTTCACCAGTGAAATAAAAGAATTCAGAATCTAATATGAGTTGAGTATATTGTCTTTTAATAACCTACATCAATTTCTCATTCTCACTGGATCTCTGCCATCAGCGTGTAAGTACATTCTGGCTAGCATAACTAGCTGTCTCTATTCCTCACTGCCCATTTTCTTGTAAAGCCATTGAAATTCAGGCTTTTCCTTACACCACTTCAGTAAATCTCTGCTTGCCAGAGTCAACATTGACCTCCACACTGCAAAACCCAATGGTCAATTTTTAGTCCTCATTATACTTGAGTTCTAAGCCTCTGACACATTTCTTACTTTGCTCCTGCTCCACTGATGGTTCATTTTCAGTGTCTTTGGTTGGTTTTTCTTCTTCTCCCCATCCTCTCAATTTTGGAGTCTCCTTTTTCTGTTTTATTTTTATTCATTTATGTGGTGATCTCACCTGGTCCTGTGGCTTTAACTAACATCGGGGTGCTCATAATTCCCAAATGTGTTTTTCCAGGCCAGACTTCACTTCTGAACTCCAGACTCATATACCCAATTGCCTACTCAACTCAAGCATGAATGTCTAATAGGCAACCCAACCCCAACATGTCATATTAAACTCCTGATCTTAACTCCTCCCACTGAAACTATTTTTCCTATAGCTTTTTCACCTTTTATTCTTTTTGACTCTACCTTTCTCGGTGCCAAGGATGAAAACCTTCTGCTTGTCATTGGTTCTTCTCTTCCTCTCATATTCCACATCACACCCCATACTGATGGCATGGGTTCTTCCGCAAAGATTCAGAAATGTCCTTGTTACAACATAGATGCATATCCCTTCCAACACAGTTTAGTCTGAGGTGACATGTATCCCCTTTATATGGGAAGGACCAATGTTGACATTTCCTCACACATTAAAAAAAAAAAAAAAGAACCCTGAAAAGAAACACACAAAAATGCCCAATAAACATAACTAATACATTGCTGCTACCACCCAGTGAAGCTGGGTAAGATACTCATGCGAATCTTGGATCTCATTTATAAAGTCATTGTTTGGCATAAAGTAGCAAGATTCCTTAAAGACTCCTTGTGTTTTCTTTTATAATCTACAAACTCCCTCCCCAGAGCATTTTGCTCTGTACTCCCTTGCGAGGGTACAATATATGCCAATTGGATAAACGGGCTCTGTTTCCAGAGTGATCACCTAATGCTCCAAACATCTCTTCAAGAGCTCAGCGTGGGTTAGAGGAATGGGCAACACCACCTAACTTTTCTGGCCACTTGGCTACCTTGAAGCTGAAGAACCATAAACTACTTTTAGTGCAATGGATTAAAAAAGAAAGCCTAGAACAACATCTTCTTCGAATGATTCCGATGCCTCTAAATTGTGACATTTTGCTGTTGTTTCCTTTTACTGTTTTTAATTACTGTGTCTATTTGCATGAAACGAGGATCTGGGTTGCCTAGGCATTCATCTGCTCTGACTGCATATTCCTCTCTTAAATAGCATTCTTCAGTGCAGCTTTGCTCGCTGCCTCCAACATTTTGACAGGACCTCCCCCTCCTCTCCTTTCACCATCCTCCCGTCACTCCCCAGGAGAGACGTTATTTTTAAAGGACGTAATCAATAGGCTTTGGGAAGCAGCCGATGCATGAGGGGGTCATATGATCGGGAATAAGCTACTAGGGATTGCTGAGAGAGGGGATGGCAACAGGCCATGCCAAAAATCATCGGAGGAGGAAAAGACTGTCTGTAGCTCCCATTTAAATATTCTGTGGTATTCTTTTGCACGGGGTTTTGACTTGGAGGGCTTTCTTAGCTCCGTTCCTTAGCCTTGCTTCAAGTTGCAGGGAATATGGACCACCAAGGACAGTTGCTTTTTTGGGTCAAATGACATTCCACTAAAATCAAGGTTGGTCTGAGGCACTTGAAGAAGTCTTAAATTTGGCCACAGTGCTGCTGTTTAGTTCTTGATGCTGATGATGCCTTTGCTGAGGGTTGAGTCAAGAATAATCCAATTATCACAACAACTACGAAGACAACTGTTTCATCGCCCCTGACCCACCTGCTAAGGGGATGCCGTTGAGTAGAGAAAACACGAGTGAGAATGTGCAGGTGCTCACGCCCAGATGAATTCACGGTCAGAGGGTCACCTCAAGAGGAGGGAAGGGGCTATTTCTGCCACACTCTCCATTACATCACTTAGAAACCGTAGCTCTATTTTAGTTCTTTACTTGCAACCACAAGGATGTCTCCTCTCATGGATTTTTAGGTTTATTTAATAGCCATTTATTACTATCCTTCCTTTACTTGAGAATACGATCCATGACTGCAGCCTTGCCTCGCCTTCCTCCTCCCCTGGTTATCGGAGGAAATGGATTTGTTGCTCATCTTCTTGGCTTGGAACATTTCATTCTGCTGTTCTTATTTAACATATGATCGTTCCTAAAGATTTGCTTGTATTTTGTTCCTTTAATATTTTTTGTTTCATTTTGTCATATCTAGTGAGTTTTTTTGATTATTATAAATGGATGTAATAGTCTGTGCGGATTTCACTTTGGCTCTGGTGTTACAGAGACGTCAGTGGTCAGTCCTTGTTGTTCGTCCTTAGCGGTTCTTACATTATACACATGAGTCGGACTCTGTTCCAGGGCTAATCTTCTGTGATTCAAATGCTTTCCTAGGGAGAAGAAGCTTCTGGACTGAAGAAGCTTGGTGGTGACATTAATTACAAATAAAAGACCAAGACTGATTGTTAAATGCAAAACATCTTCTTAGAAGTGTCTGCCTTTACTCTTGCAGACTCTCAGTAGTGCCATAAATATCTTTGTCCTGTGCAGATCCAGTTGTAGCCAGTAACAGAAGCACATGTCCCACTCGGAACAAAAGAATACTTATTTTCACATTGCGTGGCTTGACATTGAGTGATAACATTTTTGCATATCCTAAAAATTTTTATGCAGATGCTGTTTAAAGGCAAAATGTGCTTTTACAATAATCTTCTTTGTGAAAAGAATTTAAACTCCTGGCATGCGTTCCATTTTCAATGTGCCTGTCAAGTTCTGAAAAATAACCTTTGACGGCCCGCGAGCAGAAACAAAACGGAGGTTGTTGCCTCTGTTGGCAGTGACGTTGTGTTGTCATCTTTACTTTCTCAGACTCAGGCTTCATCTGACTTAAATAAAAAATATGATACTATTTTATAAACAAGTGACAAGACTATGGTTTTATTTTTATTTTTTTATTTTTTAAAGATTTTATTTATTTATTTGACAGAGATCACAGGTAGGCAGAGAGGCAGGCAGAGAGAGAGGAGGGGAAGTAGGCTCTCTGCTCAGCAGAGACCTGGATGTGGGGCTCGATCCCAGGACCCTGGGATCATGACCTGAGCCGAAGGCAAAGGCTTTAACACACTGAACCAGCCGGGTGCCCCGAGACTATGGTTTTAAAGAAATAGGCGACTCTCATTTTTACCTGGGCAAGTTGCAGAGCTTTGTCTCTGGCTGAGACCTATGATGAACAGACAGTAGATGACAAGTGGAAAAATCTGCCAGTTAATACATTTCCACATATTATTGGACAATTACAATTTTTTAAAACCCTTTGATGCCCTTGCAAAAATAGAGGAAAACTAAAAAGAAGACACTATCTTGAATATGGGGTGAGGAATATGCAGAATGTTCTTTGTATTGGGAAGAACTGCAAAATACCCCTCTTTCCACATCATCAAGGTAAATCATATATTGGGAAATTTAGGCTGTCTCCATGTGCAACCTACAGAAATCATTGACATAGGAAATACCAGCCTTGCAACATTTTCTGAAAGGCTCTTTGACACTGGTAACTGGTTAGAATGAAATGTTCTCTATTTTAATAAATTAATTTGGTTCTAATAACCACATTGTTTGTGCATGTGGATATAGTTTTACTAACAATGTAGTTTATCATGGAATGCAGTGACCTAGCAAACCCCAAGTCTACTCACTGCAACACGGAATTTATTTCGGTAGCAGTTATATTCAGTTGAGCTGACAGGCTCATAATTGATATGTTTTCCAAGTCTTTGAAGACAGTGGAGCAGAGAAGTCTTTGCACAACACTGTCTAGGATGCTGTGGCCGTATATCTTTAATAAACAATGCTGTTTTTGACAAGCTTGTTGGAAAATGTTTGCATTAACAGCACAGAAAAGTTTATGATGAAAATAATAACGGTAAAAACCCATTACTGATCATTGTACTGTCATTTAAAGAATTGCCATATTTTTCCTTTCTTCAACAGTGCAAATTCAAGTGGAGGAAAAAGAAGATGACACAGATGAAAGTTCAAGTAAGTGGGGTGGGACCCACGTGGAATGTGTTTCCTGTGGAATTGCAGTGAATTCAGGGGACTCTTATCTTGTGGGATATGCTGCCACATGTAAACCCACGCTACCACGTGTGTGGGAAACTTTTGATGTTCTCAGAAAAGAGGTCAAGTCCAGCAAATGGAATCTCTCCATTCTAGATTCCATTCAGTAGGCACACGCACATTCTACCCAATGTCTCAGTTACTCATGATCAAGTGGATGGTAGTCCACTTGATATTTCTCTAATAGTTTCCCTGTTAAGGTCTTTGTCCTAAAAGCTCTTCTCTAGGGCTCAATCTATTATAATAGAACAGATTGGCCATTTTGACTGAATTGATCAGGTGGTTCAATTAAAATGAAAAAGCACATTCTTTTGTGCTGACTCCATGAGTATTTTGTTGGAATTGCTCTGTTGTCTTTACTTAGTGTAGGTTTAGCTCAAGAGTTTGGAGTATGATCCCTCACATACAGACCACTCATGGGAAAGATCATTATATGAGCAAAAGTTCTGAATTAACTAGAACTGAAAGGAAGAGCAGTATCCATTAGAGGATACATCAGCACCCTCCAATGTAATACCCTGGGCCCAATATGGCAGCCGGGGAACGTTCATGATACCAGGTGTTTCCAGTCATTCAGGACATTTTACATACAAAGAGCTCAGAGTCACACAGACTCTGCTTGTGATGGCTTGAGTACTAGAGGGGAGGAAAATAATTTTCCTCTAGTCCTTCTGAGTTGTTAGCTGAGACCACTGTAATATAAGACAGTTTAACAAGAGAAAAAACAAATGGAAGTTTATTAATATGTATACCTCAGGTATATGTGAGAGATACACTGGAAAAATAAGTTAACTCTCTTAGGTGGCTCAGAATTTAGTCTTAAATGCCATCTTAACAAAGAACAAAGAGGGGGGTGTGTAGGCCTTTTTAGGAGAGAATAAATAATTTTTAGGAATGGTGAGTGGGCCCTTCAGAGACTACATGGGAGATACAATTGTGACAAAGTTTGTCTGGGTGTGGTATTGCCTTCTAGTGTCTTTCCTTGTGATGAGTCAATCTTCCCTAAGGGTGAAATTCTTGGTGAGGGAGTTTATGACAGTTGAGTTCCTCTCAGAGGATCTGTGTTTGGGGCGGAGGAAGGGAGTTCAGGAAAAACCTCTCAAGTCATTTGCTGTTTATCAAGTGCCTACCGTGGGATATTATCAGCATACCAAAGTGGCATGATATGGGGTGGTATGTCCTGAGCTCGTGCTGTCATATTTTGAGGTGGCATATTTTGCTACTCTTCCATATTGAACGGAGACCATTCCAGAGGGTAAAACTGCATGCAGATCTGTATTTAGTCAGCAACTGTAAAATATTGATTATTTGTTTTAGAATTTGGGTATTTGGAAACTAGTGAAGTCACTAAGAATAGCCTTTTTGTTGCCAAGTGGTAAAAGAGAAATCTGAGACAACACTTCTCATCCATGGCAAAACTACAAGTTTAATAATTTAGTCTTGATACAAAATAGCCTAAAATGCAGAGTCCTAAGTGGCTGCTTGAGTGCTTGCTAATATTTGTGGGAAAATTGTTCCTCATTCCTTATCAAGGGCTTGTCCTTTCTCTAAATGGTGACGCATGTGACTAATAAAGACTGGGCAAATTTTCAGAATATCAGACGGGGTTCACATAACATGCAACAATCCCACATATTTAACAAATGGAACATCATTCTTGGTTTTGATGACAGTGTATAGTTCTCAAAGCCTAGTTTGAAAGTTAACCTTCTGCTTTTCTCTGCTAGCCGAACTTTAGTACTACAGATAACATTTGGATCTCAGATTTGAAGTATCAATAAAAGTATTTCAGTAAGTAATGTTAAAATATAATTAGGGTTGCCTGGATGGCTTAGTCAGGTAAGCATCTGACTCTGATTTTTGACTCAGGTCATGATCTCAAGGTCATGAGAGGGAGCCCAAGTGGGGTCTGTGCTGGGTGTAGAGCCTGCTTCAGATTTTCTCTCTCCCTTTGCTCAGGCCCTCCCTCAGATAAAAGTGAAAAACAAAAAATTTAAAAAGATTAAAAAATAAATAAAAATCACGACACACGTAAGAATGAACATATTTAATGAACAACCAAGGACTCTAGTGAGGTATTCTAATCCGTTCAAAGGAAAAATCCAAAGAAACAGATATTTATAGATCAGGGATATTGAAATGGTTGTACAGATGTAAGCATGTCTGTTCTCTGGGATTTTTTTCTTCTTTTCTTTTTTTAAAATATTTTATTTATTTATTTAACAGAGAGATATCACAAGTAGGCAGAGAGGCAGGCAGAGAGAGAGGAGGGAGCAAGCCCCCTGCTGAGCAGAGAGCCTGATGTGGGACTCCATCCCAGGACCCTGGGATCATGACTGAGCGGAAGGCAGAGGCTTAACCCACTGAGCCACCCAGGCACCCCTGGGATTTTTTTTTCTGGTGAGGAAAGATTGTCTCTCTACTGCACTGTGTTCATGTACATGTCTACAGACAAGAATTATTTATTTTGCATTGCTGTTTAGCAATCTATAGCTTTCAAAATTAGAAACTAGCTCCCATGGAATCAGAATCAGATAGTACAAAAGGGTATACTGTGGACAATTCATAGTTTTCCACTAAAGTACAGATTTTCCCTATAATAGCTTCTGTTTAGAAGGATAGTGATAACTATGAGTTGATTTTTTAATAATAGGTTATTCTAAATACCAGAAGGTGCACAAAAATGAAAGCGAAGTAAGATTATATGTTATAAACTGTGAAGGAACTAGATTCTTTCTGTACTCTATCCGGAAGATTCCAGTGAAGTTACGGACAGATGAGGCATTAATTGTGAGTTGATGAATAAAATAAAATGCCATTTCTCTCAGTTTTACATTAAATTTATATGTTCTCTATTTCTAGTCAAAAAGATACTATGCTCAAGCAAGTACTTATGTAAATATACTTCGTATCAATTTCATTTAAGAAAGGGAAAAATATTTAGGAAAAAGAAGAACAATCTTGGAATCAAGAATAAAGATAATTTGAATTAGGAGAAATCTTAAGGGCTGAGTGAGTTTCTTCAAAATTATTCTAGTTTGTTGCATCTTCTTGTCTTTCCTGTCCTTTGTTCTAAGACAGAAGTAGTAGTAAACATACAGTAGCTAATCACTTAATCCTTATGTATTAGATCAGTAAACTCTAAACCTGGTCTTAGACGTCATGGTATGATATTAAAACTGTATGTCATCTAGCAACCGTGTAAACGAAGATTGGATTTCTGAGGATTATTAAAATTTGGGGATCCACCTTCACATATTTGAGTAGATGAACCACAAAAGAAATGAGATTCTAGATAAGAGTATTTAAATGGCAGGCTATGAAATATGGATATTGGTCTGGTGTATCTTCTCATGATGGGGGAACTTGCTGGATTGTGATCTCATGTGTGACAGTGGTCATTAAGACACTAAGTGTACATTTGGCAGCGGGAGAGAGAACTTTGTGATATCGCTCATCTAAGCACTTACTGCTGTGTTTAGGTGAGGAGGAAGAGGAGGAGGAAGATAAACTACCTCGAAGGGAGAGCTTGAGACCAAAGAGGAAACGGACCAGAGATGTTATCAATGAGGATGACCCAGAACCTGAACCAGAGGATGAAGAAACAAGGAAGGCCAGAGAGAAGGAGAGAAGGAGGAGGCTGAAGAGAGGAGCGTAAGTGAGCTCTGATCTGTAACTGACACTTGATTCATTCAAAAATGCCTACCTCTGAGAGAAGACCACTCCCTTTAGGTACTCTGCGGTCTTAAAACTGGTAATTAAAAACAACATTTAAGAAGACGACACATTTAATCTAAGGCTGCCATTTTACTCCACTTAGTTAAATGTATTTTAAAATTTAAATAGAATTTAAAAAATGAATATATGTACTAAGGATGGGCTAAAACATTTCCTTATGAGAGGTCAAAACTGTCATAGGTTATTAATATATTAGTTCATTGAAATATTTTGAAGTTATTCCATTAATGATATGCATTGTTATCAAAGATGAGTGGAAAATTCCTAAAAAAATGATCCCAAATCACTTTACCTTATAGAGCAATGTTTGGCAAAATATGGCTAATTCCAGCCCAACAACAAAGAGTGGGTTCTTACAGTTTTAAAGTATTGTTGATTTAAAAAAAAAAATAAATAAAAACAAAAACCAACCAAGAACAAAATCTAAAGACAAATAAGGGATAGAGCTGCATGTAGCTCTCAAAGCCTAATAATATTAATTATCCATTCTTTTACAGGAAAGAAAAAGTGTGCTGGCCCATGTTAACGGAGTATTGGTGTTGTCCTTCCCTTTTTGTCACAACCGTACATACATCATTTCCACCAGGCAAACACTTCACTGAGTGCTGACTTTGTATAAAATAATACATTAAATAATTTTCAAGTCTTGGCTTTCTGGAAATTTGCAGATGGCAGGCCAGTAAGAAAAGTGTGCATGTGACGCATTCGAATAATAGAAAACCTAGACCCCTGGGAAAGGCTTTATGAGAACAGCTACTCTGTCATTCCCTGGGTAGTAGGGCCATGGGAGCCACCACGGGGTGAGGGGATCTCCTCCAAAACACTGTGAACGAGGACTTCGGATGGAGAGGAACTTTCTAAGATGTCCTCCCCAAGTGACACATGAGTGTCTAACAACTAGCTTTTCCTTTTCATAAATCATTGTAATTAAATACAATTGTATGACAATTTTGGCAGATAGAGAAGCTTAGCATTGATAGATGATGGTTCCTTCTAAAGTATAGGAATTACCCCGCCTACTTCTTCCTCATGTTTTTGTTGATTGCGATTTTTAAATCTCCCTCCGCTTCTTCCTTTCTCTCCTCTTCCCAAGCTCTTTTCTTCCATCTTTGAATACCAAGGCACCACCTTCTTTAAATTTTGACTCTGGTATTCTTTTTTCTGTTTTCTTTTTAAGTCTTCTTATGCTATTTTCTTTAAAAAAAAAAAAAGAAATCATCTCACACTTTTTAGACTCATTGATGTCACTATTATGATTTAGTAATATTTCCTATTAGCAAAACCTGTGCTCTTTCATCAATAGAAGTGTGCATGATGTGTTCCAGAATTTGCTTTTATTCTCCACTTGTGTCTCAGAGAGGTCCTTTTAAAAAGTTGAGTTGGGTGAAAATTTCTGTGCTCTCTTGGTGTGCTTAAGGATCTCATGAGAACTGCTCAACGCCCCCTAGAAATAGGATCATAGAATCAACTGAGTCTCCCCTAGTGCCTGAGGGAACATTGTCTCAGTGACAGTGTCTGCCCTTAGCAGGTACCACTCTCATCCTCTTTCTGAGAATCCCACAAGCACCCTTGTCACCTGTCCTCTTCACTTCTCCACACAGCCAAATTTGGCTAAAGTGAACTTTGTCTCCAAAGGTTTTTCAGATTCTATAAATAGTGTTATAATTTGGGCAACTAATCAAAATAGTATCATAAATTATTTGTGATTGATAACTCATTTTCTGTGTTCATTTTGAAAATAAATTTTTTTGTTTTTTGTTTTTTTTTAAGAAAATGTATCAGCAAATATATTTTGAAAAAAGATCTGTAGGCAAATCAGGGCACATTTATTTAGATTAATTGATTTATGGTCTTTTTAAACTTAAACATTCAAGTGAAACACCTCAGGGAATTTCCCCCGTACTGACAAAACATTTGAAGCCAACTAAAACCAAGGTTGTAATGCTGACTATCTTTGGAGACAGTTAAAAAACTCTGCCTCGTTATACATTTTGGAGGATTTCTAATAATATGACAGGCTTTTCCTGACCGAGTTTTAAGTGAATAAGAAATATGCTCATAGCAGTGAGCAATTCCACACATTATGCCTTTTTCCCCCCTAACAACTGTTGTTTAAATAAATCAAACTTAACATAGAAAGCCATTCTTGCACAGATTAGCCCTACATTTTTGAAGATGAAGCATATCTATATGATATTCTTTTAACATGATTAGCACTTTTTCTTTGAGTGTTTCCTAGAAAAGCAGTTCCCTTATATACTGGTGAAAATAATATTTTAATTACCCGCCTATCTGAAGATAACTCAGGAAAACAACTATATCTGGTAGCACAACATTATCTGTCCGGAGCAATTAACAACAAAGACTTTAAAAATATACCCATCTGGGGTTATTTAGTGTAAGGATTTATTCTTATCTTTCCATGCCATACTAATCTTGGAGGACAGTATTCTATTTTAGTGGACTTTGAGCCCTGGATTTATGATGATAACCCTGTCATCCAGAAAGACTCTGTATATAAACATTTATGTAATTAGTATTTACCCAGCTCCACTGCTGTGGAAGCTAATTTCTTTGGAAGACATGGGTATGAATATGCAATTGACTATATTCTCTAGGAGTTCATAATAGAGCAAGGGAGGGGGCCACTTAGACACAAATTATTGTGAAGTAAGACAGTATAAATGTGCCAGAGAAGAAGGACGAAGTTGTTCAGAGTCTTAGAGGAGACAAAACTCTTTGTTGTATGGGGTGATAGATATATGGATAATCAGAAAAGGGGGTTATCGAAGAGATTTCGCGTGTTTTAAGGAATCATAGAAGGGGTTAAACACATAAAGTACTGGATTTGAGATAGCAAGAAAGCATATAATTAGTGTTAGGAAGATTTCCATTAGATGGCTTCTGGAAATTGGCATGTAAAGAAAAAAGCTGTAATTATATGGTAAACCCACATACCTAATAGATCATTTTAAAAAATCTTTTGATGACTCTGGATTAAATGAGATACTGTTTTAGATATGATTCTTAATGGAAATTCATAAATATAAAGCTTTAAGATACTTACATGTAGACACAGTTGACAACATGCTTTTGAACTGCATGGGTCCACATACGCATGGATTGTTTTCTCCTTTTTAAAAAAAATTCTAATTGCACTATCATTAATATACAGTGTTATATTAGTTTCAGGTGTACACCATAGCGATTGGCCAACTCTGTGCATGACTCAGTGCTCATCATGATGAGTGTGGTCTTTCCCCTGTCTCCCTACCTACCCGCCCTCTGGTGACCACCACTTTGTTCTCTAGAGTTAAGGATCTGTTTTTGGTCTCTTTTTTTTCTTATGGTTTCATTTGTTATGGTTCTTAAATCCACAAGATTTAATAAATTCAGGAATGAAGTCATATGGTGTTTTTCTTTCTCTGACTTATTTTACTTAGCATTACACTCTAGATCCATCCATGTTGCTGCAAATGGCAAGATTTCATTCTTTTTTTTTTTTTTCATATTGTTCAGTAACGTTCCAGTGTACTACATCTTCTTTATCCATTCATCTATCTATGGATACTTGGGCTGCTTTCATAATTCGGCCATTGTAAATGATGCTGCAATGAACACTGGAGTGCTATATCTTTTCAAATTAGTGTTTTCATATTCTTTGAGTAAATACCCAGGGGTGAGTTACTGGATCATATGGTAGTTCTGTTTTTAATTTTTTGAGGAAACTCCGTACTGTTTTCCACAGTGGCTGCACCAGTTTGCATTCCCACCAACAGTGTACAAGAAGAGTTCATTTTTCTCCACATCCTCACCAACACTTGTTACTCGTGTTGTTGATTTTAGCCATTCTGACAGGTGTGAGGTGATATCTCACTGTGGTTTCGATTTACATTTCCCTGATGACTGGTGATGTTGAACATCTTTTCATGTGTGTGTTGGCCATCTGTATGTCTTTGGAGAAATGTCTTTTCATGTCTTCTGCCCACTTTTTAAAAAATTGGATTTTTTTTTTTTTTGGTGTTGAGTTGTGTAAGTTCTTTATATATTTCGAATGCTAAGCCTTTATGAGATTATGTCATTTGCAAATATCTTCTCCCATTCCATAGGTTGTCTTTTAGTTTTGTTGATTGTTTCCTTTGCTGTGCAGAAGGTTTTTATTTTGATGTAGTCTCAATAGTTTATTTTTGCTTTTGTTTCCCTTGCCTCAGGAGACATAGCTAGAAAATGTTGCTACAGCTAATGTCAGGGAAATTACTGCCTGTGCTCTCTTTTAGGATTTTTATGGTTTTAAGCCTCACATCTAGGTCCTTAATCCATTTTGAGCTCATTTTTATGTATTGTATAAGAAAGTCATCCGGTTTCATTCTTTTTTATGAAACTGTCCAGTTTCCCCAACATCATTTGTTGAAGAGACTTGTCTTTTTCCCATTGCAGATTCTTGCCTAACATGGATTATTTTTAATAAATACAGTATAGTACTGTAAATGTATTTTCTCTTCCTTATGATTTTCTATCATTTTCTTTTCTCTATCTTACTGTATTGTAAAAATACAGTATGTAATACATGAAACCTACAAAATTAATTAAAAATTAATCTACAAAGTTAATCAACTGTGTCATCAGTAAGTAAGACTTTAGGTCAATAGTAGGCTATTAATAGTTAAGTTTTGGGAGAGTCTAAAGTTATATATGAATTTTCAACTGCATAGTGGTCAGTGTACCCAGGCCCCTTGTTTTTCTAGGGTCAACAGTATTGTGATTTTTTTGGAAGGATGGGCAAATTAAAGACTTAAAATATCAAGCAACTGCTTAAAATATCAAGCAATCTTAAATTTTTCTGTTTTTTTTTTCTTTTTCTAATTGAATCCATTCGTAATAGTTTCTTGACATATTTTCTTTTCCTTTTGATGGTTTCCATACAGGTTTCAATGAAACAGTTATCTGTATAATCTAGGTTGAGTTTATGTCTACATAGGAAAATTATTTGAGTCATCTTAATAAAACAATCTTTTCTTTCAACTGAAGTGTAATTGACAGACAATGTTATGTTAGTTTCAAGTGTACGACATAGTGATTTGACAAAACAATCATTTTTACTGAAGTATATGTCTTCCTCTTATGATCAACCAGCACACACATTATTATTCTGATGGGCAAATTAAGCAAACAACTGTGAATATAGATGTTGCAAAAATGTCCTGAGGTATTTTATGTCATAGTTGTATAGCACCATAATATTTTATATACTAAACATAAAATAATTAAAAGGGAAACAACCTAATAGCAATCAGAGTTGTATTTTAGAGTGTTCTTCATAGTTCCCTTACCATGAATTAACTGTTTTGAACCAAATATCTGAATTGGGCAAAAACACAAACTGTAGACAAGAAGTGTGACTTTAGAAAATTAAGGTGAGTTTTTATTTCATGACATGATTAAAAGCTGGGTTGGTGGGAAAGAAAGGAAGAGGCAAAGTCATTTTGTACAGTGGGCTGTAAGATTATGGCTCTGTCTTCCTGTGCCTCAGCTGGAACTTTCCAAAGGCAGCTCTGCCATCATCCTGCTGTGTGGAGTTGGGACAAGTAGAGTGAACAGCAAAGTATGTTTCTGACTAATGCTGAGTCAGATTACAATTTCTTTGTCCGTCAGGATGGAGTTTGGAGAAAGAAACTTCAGCAGTTAATTGAACAGAAAATATTTACTTAGAGAACTGTTGAGTTGGTATAAATAATTGTTAACTAGGTTACTGGAAAGGTGACAAGAGAGCACTTATGTATCATGGTGACAGCAAGTATGGGAAGCAGCTACACTCCAAAGGCTGGTGGAATGGTGGAAAGGGGTTGAAATTTAAACTTAGAAGCGTAGAAGACAGATGCCAGGGGCTGGAAGCACTGAGGAGGGGGTGATGCTGAAGGCATCTGGTCTCTCTGGGGCTGGTGGTGAAGCTGGCTGGTTCTGTGAGAGTGTTGGAAAAGTTGGCAAACCAGATTCTACTGCAGCTATGGGAAGGCCCCTCGGTTTGTGGGGAGAAGAGGCATTAGTAAAGAGGATCTGCCACCCCGAGAAGCCAAAGGAAAGCCTAGGTTCAGTCTAAGTCCCTTCTTAGTATCTTCTTTTGGTGGCCTACCATTGAGCCAGCCACAAACAGAAGGGTCCCCCACAGAGTCCCAGCCCCTGCATCACAATATTAACTACAGAAGGAAGAGTTTGAAGTTGAGTGACAATAACTTAATAAATAAACCAATCTATCACTAAAACAATCAATCCTGACAATAGGGCATTGCATTCCTCGATTTAAAATTACGTTTAGATTTTTTTGTTTTGTTTTGTTAATTCTGAACCACATAGTATTTTTGCCGTCCCAGGAATATAGAAGAGAAAAGATACATCTCATTTGCTCAGTGAGAAACTAAATCCCTTTGAAGGTCTCTTCAAAGGATTTGCTTCCACCAAATATATTTCAAGTTGAATTTTATCAACTGAAGTTTTGAATTTAATTAACAGATTAAGTTACCTTTGAGAAATAGATTTTTTATTTCCCCCTAGTTCAATTTTTCTCCTTCTCTTGAGACATGGCTAACAAATTTGTAAGGGCACTTCAAAGACATCTTCACCTCTAATGTACTATCCTTATCAAAAAGGAACATTTTTCAATGCAGTGTAGACTCGGTTGGGGAAAATGTATGAGGGAACAAAGAAGAGAGGAAAATATGTTGATAGATCTGTAACTAATCTTCCACGGATTTTTTTTTTTAAGTCTTGAGACTTTGAGGCTGTGGACGTGAAACAGTTTCAGGACTTCAGAATGTAAACACTGTTGTTTAAAGTTATAATAATTCTGGAAATTCTATATCAGCGTTCACACAGATACAAGCTCTAACACTTCCGAATCTTAGCGCCCTCTGTTTACAGCCGAGCTGATTCCCATTGACTGCGTATCTGATAGCAGTCTTTTTAAGTTTGGAAATCAAGCAAAAGTTAATTTTTTTTCCTCCTTTTAAAGGGAAGAAGAAGAAGAAATTGATGAAGAGGAATTGGAAAGATTGAAGGCAGAGTTAGATGAGAAGAGACAAGTGATTGCTACCGTCAAATGCAAACCTTGGAAAATGGAGAAGAAAATTGAAGTTCTCAAGTATGATGCCACTTTTCATACATAATTAGACACCTTTCCGGGATTGCTGATCTCCTAAATCCTCTTGAGTATTACCTATATTTTATATCTAGTACTTTATACAATATAGCATATATATAGAATACTCGTTATTATATACAACATTCATGGTCATAGACACATATACAGCATATTATATCTGCTGCTTGTGTGTGAACATGTCATATACATGTATGTACATGCATATATATGTAACATCATTAGAGAGGCAGAGCTAATGATTATATTTTTTAAAAAATGAACAAATCCATTGTTTAGATTCTTATAACCTCTGGTCACTCTTAGTCCTTTGTTCCTTGAACTGAGACTTTCTTCAGTTTCATATATTCATTCCTGTCTCTCTGGAAGAGATAATATATTTGACTTTCACCATTTGTGTGGCTTGCACATTCATGTTTCTCTGCAGGGTCCCAGCCTCAAATGATATAATCAGGCGATGGCTCTCCTTAAAGCACAGGGAGGATATTAAGCCAACAGAACAGTACACAGGATTCCAATTAAGGATTATGCTAATAGCTATTCCATGGTGACATGTCAGTGACCCAATTTCAGTCTTCCGTTGGGTGTTGATGGGCGTACAAACACACTCAGAGGCACATGGATTTGCCAACTTCCTGTATGAAAAGACAAATGATTCTCTCTTTCTGAGGGATGGGAGCAGAATCACTTCTGATCACTTCTGAGGATCACACTCTTATTTCCTTGCCAAGGTTGTTGGGGAGGTGTGGCATGACTATGAGGGAACGCGTCTGTGTTAATAAGCACGTTTATATCTTCCCATTGTGCTACCGCTGGCGTTTTTTCAGAACCATTTTTGTAAGTGGTGGTGAATTTCCAAAGCTGTCTCTCCACTGGCCTATTGAACCAATAATGTTAAATATTATAGTGTAGTATTATTGTCTTTGGTGATGAAAAAAGAACTGAAGGAGCTATGAGGATAGTTCACTTCTAATCTTAGTTTTGCAAAAGAGTATATGTTATTTAAGGACATTGTTAAGCTTCTGGGCCTCAGTTACCTCATATCTAAAATAAAAGAAGATATTCTAGATCTGTCCTGTGAAATGGGAACCTAGCCATCATTTTTAATAGCATCATTTTGTTTTGTGGAGTGCGGTTTTCCAAGTTCCAAACAATGCTCTTCCCAGCAAACTTCTAGAACACCATGGTTGTAGGCTGGGAACTCCATGTGCATTGGACACACAGCCATGAATGAAGGCAAAGCCAAGCAGGGTGCCTGGTTCCGTGGAGCTAGTCACGTGTGTGCATATGCATGTGTGTGGGTATGTGTGTGTGTGTCTGTTAAAATAGTTTTCATTCAATGAAGTGGTAGTGATGCTAAATGCTAGGGTTAAAAGTGCCCTTACTTGGCAAAATACGAGTTTGACAACCACCTTATGTTGCTTCTGAAATATATTTTGAAATATTACTGGCCATAAAATCCCCCCGAACTGGAAACCACAGGTAACTGTATGTGGAACGCTGTCAAATTGGAAAGCGGCGATACTGTGAACTTTTAGCGTGGTGTGAAATTGAGTAAGAATGCCAAAGAGTGGATCTTCCCTTTCCACCTGCAGAAGGCACAGAAGTACCCCCACTCTCCCTTCTCTCTATTTTCCCATATAGGACAGTGGAGCAGGAAGGGGCTTCTGAGTTCCGTTTGAATCTCAGACCTTCCACTTAATAGCTGTGCAAATTTGAATGAGTTGTGTCGCTCTCTGCCATTCAGGTTCCTTATGAAATTATGCTAATTTACAGGGTTATTGGCATCATAAAGTGAGATAATTTACATAAAACACTTAGCACTGCGCCAGAGCATAGCACATTGCCGGGAAGCACAAGTTGTAATTATTATTTCCTCTCAGGACAGAGTCAATGATGCCTGGTCCCCTGCAGTGTGACCAGTGTCACACTCTCTCCATCTCTCCTGATGGAGAGAGTGTGAGACAGGCTGGGCTGGGTGGAAGTTGACCTAGCCAGGGACAACCTCGGGAGCCCTGGGGGATGGTGACACATTCGTAGCAGTCTAGATGGGCAAACAATTTTGACTTGCCACCAAAGAACAGAGCATCTTGACAATTTGGCAGAATCTGGGGCCAAACTACGTTCACGTCTTCCAGATGTACCCAGGGTAATCCCGTGGCAGATTCTAGGACCTGGGCCTTGAGCTGAGTTCCAGAAATGAACCTATTTTTGGAAGAGGGGAGACAGAGGTATTGGGAAGGCAGCGAGGGAATACCAGGCCCTGTTGTTAGGGCAGAGACTGAAAATGGGGAGTCTGTAGCTCTCAGTCCAGGTCTTAGGACTGAATGTTGGGTTTTTATTCAGACCACATGCTTTTTGTTTCCTTTTATTTTATAATTTTTTCACTTTTCATTCATATATATAATACAAAATTTACCATTTTAACCATTTGGGGCTATCTATCTATATATTTTTTATAACATTTTTTCTTTCTTGTCAAACATTGGAAAGTAGGAGATTTCACATTAAAAAAAATCCAGCAGTGCTTGGGTGGCTCAGTTGGTTTAGCATCTGACTCTTGATCTCAGCTTAAGTCTTGATCTCAGGGTCATGAGTTCGAGCCCCGCGTTAGGCTCCATGCTGGGTGTGGAGCCTATATTTAAAAAAAAAAAAAAAAAAAAATGTCCAGACATCCAGCTTCTGCTGGACAAGTGGGGTATTTTTACGGGAAGTAGTGGCTGGGACTTGGCAATTGTTGCCCCTACAAAAAGGGCATTCACTTTTCAGTGTGCACAATTCTCAAACAATTCGTGTCACTTGCTTATGCTACTTGGTTAAACCTTGTATGCTTTCCAGTCTGCTGCCTCCTACCCGTGCAGCTAGGGAGTCAGTTAGGCATGTTACCAAGACAGTGATTCTGAACGTCAGATTCAAAGCCAGCTTGCAGAATAGAAGCACAGATGCAGGCCCAGAGAAGACTCAGCTATGCCTGCTCACCTTTCAGTTACGCTCACTGTCTTGGAACAATTCTCCATGGCCAGAAATGGGTCCTGCTTTGTGGCTTTGCAGTTCTCTGTGCAGCTGGTGGTCACGGTCGGCCTGACTCCCTTGATTTCAGCCTCTGTGATGAAACTGTTGTCTCTGTAGGGCCCGGCTGCCTCCCTCTGTGGGTTTCTGAATGTTGAATTGAGCTTCTCCCTTATGGATTTCAATCTTGTGATTAGAGCGAGGGATGGATGCTTTACAGTATGTAAATGTAAAGGTTTCTCCACCCCAGCCTGGAGGCCAGGTAGTTTTTCTCGCCTACCCTTTATGTCTTTTGGGGACATCTAACTCCTAGAGAACATTTCTGAGGGTAATGTTATTTCCAGAATTTACCTCCAGTCATCAGTCCTCGCTAAGGAAATGGAATGCAAGGCGAGGGGCTCAGTATAACTAGAGCAGATACTTTGATCACAGGCTTGGATCTGTGTTGAGGTTCCAAGGCTTTCCATCTGGCTCTGGACTCTGAAAAACTGGTGAAACTTCTAACAGATTTAACAGAGGGTCAGGCTTTCGAGATGTCTTTTAGAGGAAAGCATCGGGCATAGTAGCAGAGGATGCTGTGGGGCGGGGGGGTGGCGGGGCTCGGAGGTAGTTCCCACATTCTGAAAGAGGGTCCACCCCTGGCAACATGAGCGTCTTCAGAGCTGAGGGCAAAATGACAGTTAAAATAAGCAGTTAGTACATGGCAAGAAGCCCTAAAAATGGATTGTTAATCCCGAAGAACTCTTCAACATGGCTCAGGAAGTAGAGCTCAGCATTTTCAAGGCAGCGGCATTTGCTTTTTTGGCCTGAAGAGAAGCCACATCTTTTTCACTGTCGCTGTGGAACTGTGTTTTTTAGTCTGTTTTCCTGCGTGTTAGCGCAGTTTCGTACATTCATGTGGTTTAAACCTGTTGAGTGATAATCTCAGGGAGGGGGAGGGAGGGGCAGGTGTATCTGGCCCCGACTACAATATGCATACTTTTGTTTTCTACTTTAAAAGTCCTTGATAGGGTACGATGGCTCAGTTGGTTAAGCGACTGCGTTTGGCCTGGGTCATGATCCCAGGGTCCTGGGATTGAGTCCTGCATCAGGCTCCCAGCTTCATTGGAGTCTGCTTTTCCTCTGACCTTCTCCCGTCTCATGCTCTTTTACTCTCTCTCAAATAAATAAATAAAATCTTTAAAAAAAAAAAAAGTCCTTAATAGACAGTCAGGATTGAGGGCCACCATCTTTTGATTCTGAGAAACAGAAAACCTCATTAAACAGAATGTCCTACTCCATAAACTGTTTATCGAATGGGTGAGAATATGTTGAGGGGATGGGACAGGGGAAGGGAAATAGTGGTCTATTTTCCAACTTTTTGAAAGTCAGTTTCTCTTTTTTATTAGGAACTAACCACAAAAATATCCAACAGCGAGGATTTTTAGGCATAATCTGTTTTTAAGCTGTTGATGGGTTTCACTCAGAAGTTGGTTGACTAGATCTTTCCTCCCTGTAGTCTGTCGCTGAGCTAACCTGGTAGAAACCACCACAGGTGATAGAAAACACCTGGATGGAAAATAACAGGTCTGCTTATTACTCCTCCTGAAACTCAAACCTAAGTATAGCAGAACATTCTAATGGTAGATTTAAAGCCTTCCTGAGTAAACCTGAACAAGCAACCATTTTATTTTGTTCCAGTAGGGTGGGTGAGGGATTGAAAATTAAGAGACATGGACTCCACACTAAGCTCTACCTCGAACCTCACCTCTCTGAGCATCATGTATTTATTTATACAGGGAAGGGATTGAATTGTGGCGGGTAGTTTTCAAACTGCTCTCCTCAGAGTTCCAGTGGTTTGGTGGAATCCCTTCAGGGAAAGGGAGGCAGAGTTTAAGAGTGGTGCTTGCCACACCACGAGCTTTGACCAGAGATGTCACAGTTTCCTTCTTCTACACAATGTACTTGTGTATAAAGCATCTGATTGAAGAAAA